ACCTCAACTCATCTCCATTGTGTCATTTAAACACACCAACTTTCAAAATGATCATCTAGACACCTCTAAAATTTGTGTGTCAGGTCAGCATCAGGTGTCCACGAGACATAGTGGGGATGAGTTGGAGTGTTTAGTTGTTAGTTCAGACCAAGTTGAGGTGTCTAAATGTACACTCTCAAAGTTGAAGTCCTTACTTGTCAAGTGATGAGTATTTGCTTATGTATTATGCCTATTATTTATGTAAAACGAACTTACAGTAGAAGTAGCACCAGAAATTTCCTGCTTTGCATGATTTAGAGACACGATCTTAATCTTACCATTCACTTAACTTTATGGGGGCAGGTTGAGAATCAACTCGAAGATCAGAAAGTAGCCGATGTTTCTGATAAACCAACACACGAAATTGTTCCTTCACATTGTGGAGCAGAATATCAAAGTAATCCGGAGTCCTTCAGGCTACCGGCATCAAGTCCATATGACAATTTTTTGAAAGCTGCCAGATGGTAGAGATAGCATAGGAATCGTTCCAAACAGAAATGTTTGCGAGATTACTTCCCTCCTGATGTCAGGGTTGCCAAAGCCTTATCGGTTGCAGAACCGGAAGATCTTCATGCAACACGCCTGCATGGAAAGAAAGTCGGCGCCAGAGTTGTAGATAACACATAGTTTGTAACTCATCATTTATACACATAAAAGTTGTTCATTCTTTTATTCTTTTTTTTTCTACCTATTATGAGGTGAAATATTGTTGTACTGGAACCAGATAGGAGGAGGCATATTGGTTAAGATCTTAGGTTTTGCTATCTTAGCCAATGTCATTTACTGTTGTATAATATCAAAATGTTGCTTTTATTATTCTCTTTTTAGTGATTTTAGATGGAGCTATTCTTTTCTTCTTCTGGTGTATGCAGACACTGCTATTTGAAAATGAAAAAAAAAAGCATTCTTTTGCTGTTCTTATTTTCCTAATTAAAATATATGTTGTGATATTTTTTTCATGCTTCGAAAGCTTCTCTTTTGAGTTGAGGTCTATCAGAAATAGCCTTCCTACCTACAAAGGCATGGGTAAGGTGTCACACCCCAACCCTAGGTGAGGCGGACAAGTACCATATGATCACATGCTTTACAAGTCACCTATGATGAGAGAGTAAATTACTACTATGCAGATATATTTACTAATGAGAAGCTTCATATACAACACATGTTGACTAGCTGAACCGATACATGTGACAAGTGAAACTATGAATTCAGATGATAACTTTACAATGTCTACAAAGCCTCTACTGGAATCCATGATTGTATCACTATGAAATACGCATAGTAAAGATTCGGCAAAGCCCTGAATCAACCTGGAGCTCACCAACAATCGTTGAGTATCATGTGCTTCTATTGGGGAGATCTACTAGTTGAGTACATGTACCTGCAACATGAAATGCAGCGTCCCCAATAAGGGACGTCAGTACGAAAGAATGTACTGAATATGTAAGGCATAATACAACCATATGTAAAATGAGAGCCCAAGTGAAACCAAATACCAATAGATAAGGATTAGAGATTACATTTGCTTTATACTTGTGGAATCGTGTATGTTACATTCTTTTCTTTACTCTTCTTTGCATTATAATATTCATAAGACATATACAAATGACCAGCTGATTAGCGGTAGAAGAGGATGACCCATAATTCCTGGGATGCTGTCCTCATAATTCCACAAATTGGGATCGGTCCATGCTAGGCTTTCGCCCCTGAGCTGCCACCCTTCTATACCAATTGGGATCGACCCATGCTAGGCATTTGCCCCTGGGCTGCCACCCATAATTATACAGATTGCTTCACTTAGATTCTTTAATCTTTGAGATTGTTGTTTTGATGTTCATAACTCTTTTGAGATTGTTTTTTTGATGATCATAACTCTTTTGAGATTGTTGTTTTGGTGGTCATAATCATTGTTGAGATTTGAAACTATGGACCAGTATTAGAAGACATATGAATATGGACTTACGATAATAACAATGACATGGGAAGCAAATGTGACATGAACGTGTTATACTTAGGAGCTTATATGACTCCGTAAGCATTTTGACATCTCAAATTGAAGCACATATCGAATAGCCTTACATACCTTATCCCCTGACCAATAGAACTATCACGATTCAGCCTCCCCTTTTAGGTTTTAATCTACAATATAAGTCATGATAAACTAAAATTAGCAGCTATCACACTGTGAGCCCCGTAAAGCAGTATCTAACATTGACGGATAATGAACCCATACAACCCTTAAAATAATGTGTATCACCACACCCTCCTTCTCTGCCCAATACATACATTATATATCCTTTTCCATGATTACCCAAGCTGCACCAACAACAATATACATAAAATAGCCTCAAATATTCTTTATCATACAACCAATTATTGAACTCACCACCCCCTTGAGTTCTCTATGACAGCACACCCATAATTCCTCACTCAAACTCATACATAAGGAGGAAGAAAATGGAGCAGTCACCTTACCTTAATTTCTGCAATTTCTCCTAATAAATTCTTCTAGAACTTCAACTTCCCTTCACACTTAAACCAAAGAAGAAGAGAAAAACGTCTTAATAATTAAGGAAAGTGAGCAGTAGCTTGTGGGAACTTCTACCTTCTACTTATAATTGAGCATGAATAATATGTTTTCTAGTCTTCCATGAGAGAATTAAGCTAAATCCATAAGTGTTTCTCTTACCTTGGTTTGCAGATATGAGGGTTTCTTCAAGAACACTAGAAGGAACTTTAAGGCTGTTGTAATCCTTAAGAGAAAAGAGAGAGAGCTGGAGTTAATTCTCAATATTGTGTGTTAAAAATGAGTGAGAATAACATTCAATATATCTTATATTGAGCTTTCTTCACCTTTAAGAATATCCTCTAGAACCTTCCTTTTTTAGGTCCATTTTCAGCCACTAATTGGTCAAGTAGGTGATGCACCTGCTTATGTACATCAAGCAACTCAAAAGGTCAAACTAGGTGATGCACCTACTTGTTTTCACTTGGGCTTAAATATATTTGGCCTTGGCAGATTTGGTTGCTGGGCTTTAATTTCATTTTCCTTTTATTTAACTTAATTTGGGCCTCGAGTGAGTCCATTAGCATAGGCCCAAATCTAATCCATAAACCTTGACCTTTTTAACTAGATCCATATAGTTCAAGTAGGTGATGCATCTACTTGGTCCTTTGGACTGGTCAATAAGTCAAAGTAGGTGATGCACCTACTAGCTTAGTTAAGTCAAGCAAGCAACTCACTTATTTTATTCCATTTTCTAAATATTAATCCCTTTTGCTTTAACTTAGCACATAACTTTCAACTTTAAGCTCAATTACCACCTTACTGTCTCGAGTTGAAATACTCCCGCTGGAGTTAACTTGCAGTACACATGTTGAAATGTGCAAGGCATCACATCACTTTCTGATCTAATTTAAACCAACGCTAATCATATAAGAAACATGGTCCCTCGCCTATACTATAAGGCTATGTCAAGTATCACAAGAATAGAACAAGCATATGCATAATACGAGTTGTTACATACATGTAGAATACAGGGTGTTGCATCAAGTTTGTGCATATCCTACCCTACCTAGACCTCACTTGTGGCACTACACTAGGTATGTTGTAGTATATGAATTGTTGGTGGAGAAAGAGTTATTCACTGCGATGTTTACACCAACCTAAATATATGACATATTAACAATCTAAGGATTCCCAAATAGGGTGATCTTTGGCAGAATAGAGACGACAGTCAAACTGAAACATCTTAATAATCAAAGGAAAAGAAAGCATAAGTGATTCGTGTAGTAGCAGTGAGCAAAATAAAAGTAGTCTAAATCGTGGAAGAGAACTACAAGCCTATTGCACCCTAAATAGCAAAAGTCTAAAGTCAAAAGCTTCACTTACCTAAGTAGCATGAGGTGTGTAGAGTTACATGTGAATCACCAACTTCACCTTTAGTGAGTCTGAGGCTACGTGAGTTTGAATTAATGAGGACTCGGTGCATTATAGATATCAATAGGTAAGTGTAATCCACTACATCAAACTCAAACAATTTGTATGATAAAAAAATTAAACAAAATTTCAAAAACTTTTGCCTATTGAAAGATTCATTCACTTACTTTAAGTTCTAAATCACACGAACGAAAAAAAACAAACTTGTTCCACTATTTTCAAAGGGCAAATTATAAGAAATGATCATTCAACTATATTCATTACCAAAATTTTAGTCAACTTTTCAAAATTACTAAAATTGGCCAAAATTTCTTCTTCTTCCTTCTTAGTTCATCATTAATGACTTCTAATCTTCTTCTTCTTCCTTCCCATTTTGCCATTAACGGCTTCTTTTACTTCTTCCTTCCTCCTCCTCCTCCTCCTTCTTTGTTTTTTGTTCTTCATTGTTTTTTTTCTTTAAAATTTGACGTATCGCAATCGTGAATCGTTTTGAGCGAATTATATATCAAGAGACTCGAAACATCGAGATATTTTCATATCTAAAGTTTGAGACTATTTAGAGGTGATTTCAAGTTGATCGAGATTGACTCATGTATAGTTAAGCTATGTTTAATTTTTTTTTAGTGTATCATAATGTATAGTCACTGTATAACTCATATATATGTACGCTATATTGTATAGTCAATGTATACTTTCTATAACTTTTCACTAGCTATAGTATAGTTAATATATAATTCCAATCATTTTGACTATTTTTTATGTAAATAAAATGACATTTTATTCGTTGTAAACTAATTACTTTATTGTATATTTTGAAACTATCTCAAAAACAAAATAAAAGAAAACAAATTTGAGCCTGGGCCCAAAACTTGATTCCAACTCCCATTTTTGACCCATTCTAAAAACAAAAAATACAATCAAAACGACATCACTTTCACAATATAAACATCAAAACGCTGTCGTTTTGACCTTAGAAAACCCTTCTATAAAATTCTACTCGAGAAGAACATTAAGCAAAGAACAATTTTTTTTACATCTGCAGTCTCTTTGATTTCCATTCTCTCTGCTCTTCATCACGGTAAATACCCACCCCCTACCCCCCACCCCCCACCCCCTTGTTTTTTTCTCTATACATGTATAGATTTATTGCAAATCTTGTGCCACCATGTTTGTTATTTGAGTTGGGTATTTGATTTTATTGCTTCTTAGGGACAATATTACATTTTTATGTGTGATCTATGCTGTTTGGATTGATGGGCGTTTTCTGTTTTGTTTATAGTGTAGCGATGGATTGAATCTTGATGTGAATTGATCTTATTGGGTGTTGGTTTATGGTGCTTGGTGGGGTTATAAAATGATTTATTTGATTTAAGTTTTAACCATTATTTGTGTGATTTGGGTGTTTAGGATTAATAGGTCATTTATATTTAGTTTGTATTGGAGAAAAGTTTGATATTTGGTATGAATTTTGTATTTTATGGTATAGGTTAATGCTTCATGAAGAACTCAATATGATTAGTTTGATTACTTTTTATTGTTATCAGTGGGATTTAAGTGGTTAGGATTAATGGGTCTTCATCTGTTTGGTTTCTGTTGAAGCCTAGCTTGCTTTTTTGGAAAATTGGAATGATGGGTTAATGCTTCCTGTAGAGTTCTATATGATTAGTTTGATTACTTTTTATCGTTATCAATGCGATTTGAGTGGTTAGGATTGATGGGTCATCATCTGTTTGGCTTTCTATGGTAGAGGTTAATGCTTCATGAAGAGCTCAATATGTTTAGTATGGTTCATACTTGTTGCTCCTTAACCTAAATTTTATATTTTTCATTGGTTCTGGGAAATGCTTCTTGGAAGTCGGAGCAGTCATGATATGGTTCCTTTTTTAATATTTTACTCTGGGATGTGAATGGTTTTAGTTAATTTGTCGCTTCCCTTTGTTTTGTATTAACTGACTGATGTACATGTCAGTAAAAGATAAATGAATCAAATGTTGTGTATTTACTTTGTTGGCTGGGGAAGATGGAATGTCTGTATGTTGTGTCTTTTCACGAGCTATGCATGGCTGTTTTCGTCGTGTCTCTTCATGATTTGTTGTAGGTTTCTATTGAACATTGTCCAATTTGTAAAGCATCGTTAGGTTAATGAGTTCTGCTTTATTATTTTGTACTTATTAACCACCCGTCTGAAAGGGAAGAGGAGGTAGAATAGGATTGATCTAATACATTAAGTCGTTCTCTGTGTATTTCTAGCTGCTTGGATCGATGAGTAATTGTCTGTTTATTCATAAAGAAGCGATTTTATGAATCATATATTATGGAAGTGATTATTGCCTTGATTTTTGAGGTACTGGAATAGTGCTAATAGAAGTTGATTTCTTCTCTTTATGTTCTCTTCTTGATGTGGTATAGATTTTTTTAATTGTTCAAAAAGAAGTTTCACCTTTGCATATCGAATTAACCAAAATTCATAGCACCCTAAATGCAATCATATCTGAAGTAGTATATTTTGTGTCCAAAACATATATCAATGGGAGCATTAACAGAATGTTATGATGGATTAATTGGAACTTGGAAGGAACTGTTGATCTAGTTGAGCCTTGTGGGTAGGTGTAGACACTCAGATGTGATTTTGAAATATGAACCTTATAACGAAGATAAATGAAACTTAATTGAACGTGAACACACTTTCGTCTGCGTTTATGTTTTCCTATTTTTATCCTTTTTTTTCTTTTCCCCTATTTGCATTTGGCACTCCAGTTGATTGCTAATGGGTTGTAGACATTAACCAATCTAGTGCTGGCATGAGTTCCGTTCTATATTCTGCAAATGATTTATGCTATGTTTCAGTGGAAAAGAAAGAGGGTTAGTAGGCTGAATAAGGTCTATTTCCCACACTAGCTTTTTAGGAACTAAAATGGGAAGATGCACAACATACTCATGAACCCCCTCCGTCCCAATTTATGTGGCACCGTTTGACTTGACACAATTTAAGAAAAAGGAAAGACTTTTGAAACTAGTGGTCTAAAACAAACCTTAGACATTTGTGTGGCTATAGAAAGTTGACATTCTTTTTGGGACAGACTAAAAGGAAAGGGTGCCACATAAATTGGGCACAGAGAGAGTAGTATTTTTCTGATGAAGTCCTCATGTAGTATTTTCAACCGTCCCCAAAAGTATGGTAGAAAGAGGAAATAGATGCCTTCTTTCCTTCACTCTTCTACTGCAGCATGAATGGAAGGAGTATATGCTTTTTCTAGGACTTGTGATTCAACATCTTTTTCTTCCTTCACTCTGCTCTGTTGCCTGTTTTTCTGAACTTATTTTTATTTTTTAAAATAAATAAATAAAATGGGGTGGGGGGAGTGGGGGGGTAGGGGAAACGGGGAGGAGGGGATTACAAGGTAGGAAATCGAACCCTCACGACTTTGGTAGCCAACCAACTGAGCTTCTAAGATTCCCTTGTTTTTATTGAGGATTAGTAATGTTGTATTCTTCAGCATCAGCATTGGGAATGCTGGCCACCATCAGAAACAAGTTACAAAGCAAGTAGACTCTAGCTTTACAAAGCTCCTAGAAATTCTACTAACTCCTCTATTTCCTCTATACAGTTCTGTTTACACCAAAAAAATAAAGTCTCCAGGCAGTTCCATTTCACATCATGGACTGATCTGATTTTGTCTTCAAAACACCTTCCATTTCTCTCCCTCCAGACTGACCACCATATGCAAGAGGGTATTATCCTCTAAGATTCCCCTGTTTTATTGAACTAACATTTTGATTTTTGTTAGAGTATGACAAGAAATATAGTTTTAGTTTGAAGATTTCAAGTATGTAGCTGTATGTTCTTGTCTTTATAGATTTGAATGGTATATCATACAGTAGGCTACTAAATCACGCAGTTCATCAGTACCTTGAGAAAATCTTTTAGTTATACTTCCATCACGTCCCAAGTCACATGATGGTGGCAAAAAGATTACATATGTGCTGTAGCTTGAGATAATCCGTTGAAACATACAATTGAATCTGCAGCCTCATGATGGTGTAAAAAGATCTTCTATGAACTATATCTTGAGATATTATTGTGTAATAATTGAATGCTTTGATGTTGAATGGCAAAAAAAACTGTTTTCTTACTATGGTTTTATGGTATCTTCTAGCTTTAGGAGCTCCAAGATGGCTACCAAGTACATCATTGGTTCTATCGCTGGATCTTTTGTCGTTGCATATGTTTGTGACACTGTTATTTCTGACGGGAAACTGTTTGGAGGCAAGTTCTAGTTCTTTTCGTTAGTTCTTTGATCATGAAACTGCCTCTGCTATTCTGACAGTCGACTTGTGGTATCTCAAAACAGGTACTACTCCAAGCACTGTTACCAACACCGATTGGTGGAAAGAAACAGACAAGAAATTCCAGGCATGGCCTCGCACTGCTGGTCCCCCAGTGGTCATGAACCCCATCAGCCGACAGAATTACATTGTCAAGTCTTGATTTAGATAGTTGACTTGTGCTGTTTTTTCCCCCTCAACAGATTACATTTGAGATCGAACCATTCTTCAGTTTTGAGCAAGGTTTTTTGCTCCTACGCTTGATTCAGACGATATTGAAGTCATTTTTCTCACTTATAAGAAGATTTGACGTATGTTACAAACAATCAAAACAGATTTGACATATGTTACAATAAAAAATTTGTTCAGTTAGCGGGCCTGTGTACTGAACAAGCTGTATGTTAGTTCTTGGTTCTTCTGCACTACTACTATGTCTTTTTCGTTGATATATTTGCCCCATGCTTGTGAATTCTTTAGTTGGTTTAGCTGCAAATGCATAATCCTTGCATGTCTATGAACAGCTCATTGGAGGGGAGATATCCTACACTTGTGTTCAGCTTTTAGTGGCTTGTTGCATCCCAAATACTGTGGTCGGAGTAAGGATTTTCACGAGATTTGAAATATAAATAAAATAAACACAGTAAGAGGCCAGCCAAGTGTAGTGGGTGGGTGGGCACAGTTTGGGTCAACCCAAAATCTTATTTATTTATTTTTTGGATTATAATTTATGGATATTGGATTTAGTACCTCCTAGTAGGTGATTGAGGTTGTTGATTGTTATGGCCTGCCGGTTCAAAAGTTAAAATTGAATTTTTTTTTGATAAACTCAAATCGATTGATCCAAAATTAAACTCCAAAAATTCAATTCAATCAAACTCCAATAATTTCTTCGGCTTTGAAAATTAAAAAAAAATCATTTTCATTTCAACAATACGAACGTCCACTCTATCCAAACTATTGTGCAATTTTAAGACAAATGAATCTTTGTGCCTTACTATTGATTGTAATTTTGTGACATTGATATAAAACAATGTAACCAAAATGTTTCATTCTACAATGACTACATTCAGATTCTATTGTTTATTATTAAAGTGAAGAATTTGAAGATGTGTCATTAAAAAATAACAAATACATGTTTTTTAAATGGTCATATTTAATAAGTTCTTCAAAAAGGTAAAGACGAAATCGATGTATATGCTATTAATATATTTGTATGGGAGAGGCAAACTCCGAATTTAAAAATTTCGGGTGCATCAATATTACCTAGGTAAACATGAAATTAGGCCGATACAAAATTTATATATTTGTATGAGAGAGGCGAACCCAGAATTTAAAGATTTCAGGTGCACCAATATTACCTAGCTAAACTTTAAATAAAAACAATTAAAAAGGGTTTTATCTAGATTCAAACTTAGGCCTCAAGGATGGTTCTCCTAACTTGTACCAACAGAATAAGGGCACTCATATACTTCTCTTGGGTGCACTATATACATATAAAAAAAAAATCCAAAATTAATGAATGCACGTACACCCCTATATATAAATGTGAATCCATCTCTATATATAAAACAAATCAGTGCACGTTTCCAATAACTAGTACATGTGTAAACCACAAGAAGTCGATTAAAAGATGAAAAAGAGAAACAACAAAAGGTTACCGTTAGTTGTGGGCAGGGCCGGCTCTATGCTTATTTGAATAAGGCATTGGCCTTAGGCCCCCAATTTTAGGGGGCCTCAATTTTTTATCAATAATAAATTATGTGTTAAATTTTTATAGAAAAGATTGATTATTTATGATAATATATATATTTTAAAAGGCATATATATTTTATTCTCTTTAATTCCATTTAAATAGAAGAAATCAAGAAAAAATGTTTTATTTTCTTACACTACACTAATATTCACATTATTTTATTCTTTTAACTCCTTTTACACTCTCTTTTTTAAATTTTTGATAAGTTAGAGTAATATTCTATTAAAAATATGAATCAATAGTCGAAAAGTGTTGAGTGAATTGTAAATTCTTTTTCTATTTCTTCTTAGATTTTCAAGCATTACAACAAGCATAGTAAAATGTGGGGTATACAAAATTATCAACTTCTTGAATCAAATTTTATGTTAACAATTCATATAATAATTGCCCGAGTAAGAAATGTTTTTCAACGTTGAATTGATAAAATCTTATCTAAAGCTAATAATTGTAAAAGAAATCGAATAAATCATTTATAAAAAAAACATTAAGTATGCTTTGCATTTAAAAATGTAAGTTTTTTAAAAAAAAAAAAAAATTAATGCATATGAAGTTTATTTAGATTTTAGGCCTCTAGTTGAAATTTGCTTTAGGCCTCCGATTGCGTTGAGCCGCCCCTGGTTGTGGGCAATATACTATAGATTATAATATAGACAAAAGAAACCCACTAGCTGTACCACTACAATAAAGACTTCTTCTAGAATTTGACACTTGTAGTGTAAAATATTATTTATAATATCACATCTTTTGAGGAAATAACTATTACTCCCTCCGTTTCACAAAGAATGACCTCCTTTCCTTTTTAGTCAGTTTCAAAAAAATGACCTCTTTCCTTTTTTGGTAACATTTTACTTTTTGCTTTCCACGTGGCATGTTTAAGACTACAAGATTCAAAAGTCTTCTTTAATTTCTTAAACTTCGTACCAAGTCAAACCAGACCAATCTTTTTGAAACGGAGGAAGTACTAGTAATCACTCATTAAATGTGCAATTAATAACTTAAAAAATTAGGCTGTTATAACATGTTAAAATATATAAATAAGAAAAAAAATACACCGTTAGTGCATGTAAAGTTAAATCCTATTCTCTCCGTCTCAATTTATTTGTCATACTTAATTTTTCATTTTTTCTTCAAATTCTCATTTTACCTTAATGATTAATAGTCATTTGAGTCAACGATCTATCAAAAATAATCTATCTATTAGCAACTTTCTGCTCAGACCGTGCGAGCCTCCCACTGGGGGCCCGCTATGTTCCATCAAAGATCCTACAAAGTCTGTATACACTCCATCCTCTCGAGACCTCACTTACGAGATCATAGTGAATATATTATTGTTATTGCTGCTGAGATGATTAATAGTTACATAAATATTCACCGACTTATTTTAAATCACAAACTTCGTTTTTTTTATATAAAAAATCGTGTCAAATCAAACACTGCTACATAAAATAAGACATCTTTATATGTATCGGATCATTTGTGGATTGAAACTCTCTTTTCTTTTAGCTTTCCCTTTCCATTGGACCAGGTCAAGGCTGCTTACAACGTCAGAAAGGATCATGCAAAATATACCAATTAAAAGTGTGGCTTTAAAAGTCAGAAATCTTTGAAGAAATAATACAAATAGAGAAAAATAAGGATTTATCCATGGAGGATAAAAATAGAAGTTCAATGGTGGTTTGTGTTACTGGTGGTTCAGGATACATAGCTTCATTTCTGGTGAAAAAACTTCTTGAAAATGGCTACAAAGTTCATGCCACCCTTAGGAACTTAGGTATGTAATTCTTGATTTTACTTCTCTTTTTTTTTTTTTAAATCTATGAATTGTCTCGAGTCGAGGTAGGAGTAACGTCTGTGTACACTCCATCCTTTTCAGACCTCACTAATGAGACTATACTGAGTATGTTGTACGTTGTAATGAATTGTACTGTTGTTGATGGGATGGATGAGATCCCTCGCCATTAAGGCATATACTATAAGCTAAGTCATGGATTTGATAAAAATAGTTTTGCTTGTGGAATATGAAACTCTAGGATAGTATATCAGTGGCTATATGTGATTTGTTTTTCCTTAGAATTTTCTGTTAAAGATCCCTTATCCTTTAATGGGCCCTACACTAGCGGCGAAGCAAGAGGGAGGGGGCGGAAACAACGTCTTTACCTCACAAAAGTAGGGGTAAGGTCTGCGTACACTCCACCCTTTCGGACCCCACAAGTGAGATTATTCTAAGTATGTTGTTATTGTTGTTGAAATGAATTATATTGTTGATGGGACGGGGGACGGAAGAGCCCTTACCCCTTAAGTCCTACGTAGAGGCAGAGCTAGATGGAGGAGGAAGGAAGGTTATTCATCTAAACGCCTTAGAGGGAAATCGGCTTGTATATGTAAGGTTAATTTTATGTAAATATAGTAAGTTGAACTACATAGTAAAAATTTTGTCTCTGCCACAACTGTACATGACACAAATCCAAATTAGTCGGATTTGTAAATTTCAAATATCATGCAGGATGGTGTAAAAGACTCATAAACTGTGATAATTTTGTAGAGGATAAATCAAAGGTAGGCTTGTTGAAGAACTTGCCTAATGCAGAAGAAAATTTGAAGTTATTTCAAGCTGATAGACCAGAAGAATTTGAGCAAGCAATCCAAGGTTGTGAATTTGTTTGCCATGTGGCCACTACTTTTCTACATACTGAGGGATTTCAGGTACCTATTTTTAATGTCGTTCGGGGTTAGCTTGTTTGCACCTCGATAATTTCACCGACTTCTAATTGTGTTTGCACAAGTATATGTACTCCACCGAGATACTTGGTCTCCCATGGTTCTTACATACTCCCTCCGTTTTCATTTGTTCGTCTTACTTTTCTTTTTAGTAATCTGTTTTAAAAAAATGTCTCTTTCCTTTTTTTTGACAGTTTTTTAATTTTAACTTTCTACATGACACGTCTAAGATCACAATATTAAAAAGTATTTTGGTACACACTACCTATGCTTAGTTTAAGACCACGAGATTCAAAAGTTTTTTTTACTTTCTTAAACTTCGTGTCACGTCGAAACCAGACAAACAAATAGAAACAAACGGAGCATTACATTGGTTTGCTAACTAGCTTAGCTATAGTTGGAGTAGGGTGTTCAGTCAAATACTTCTCGTATGAAAATGATATTAAATCTTGAACAACCTTAACAGAATTTCTGGTTTCGCTTATGGAATTTGATTAAGTTATTTATATATATATATTTATTTTTGTGGGATTGAATATTGTAACAGTACAAGAATCCAGTAGAAGCAGCAGTTGCATCAGTGAAGAATATTGCAATGGCTTGTATAAAGTCTGGTACTGTAAAGAGGCTTATATATACAGGCACTGTGCTTGCTGCTTCACCAATGAAGGATGATGGCAATGGCTTCAAGGATTTGATGGATGAAACATGTTGGACTCCTCTCAATGTCCACTTCCCTTTTAGTGATGATTTTGTTATGGTAAGATTTCTTTCTTATTAGTAACCGATGGCGTTGGGGTCAGTTTGCGTCTATTTAGACTATTCCTCTTGATGTTTGTTATCTTCTACGTACCAACACATGTATCATGTAACTCTGTCCACCAAGACTAACACAGACTGGACCATTTTCTTTTTGAATGGTATAGAATTATGTGGAAGCAAAGACTGCATGTGACAGAGAAATCTTGAACTTTGGCAAAGATGGATTTGAGGTTGTGAGCTTAGGTTCTGGTCTAGTTGGAGGAACAACACTCTTGTCAAATATCTCACCAAGCGTGGCTGCTATGTTGTCGGTGATAACTGGTGATGAAATTTATTACAATCAACTCAAGTTCATAGAAGAGGTTGATGGAAAAGTTCCAATTATACACATTGAAGATGTTTGTGAAGCTCACATTTTCTCAATGGAAAATAATGATTCTATGAATGGTAGATTCTTGTGTGCTAGTGCATTTGTTTCTTCTGCAGAAATTGCAACTTATTATCAACAAAACTATCCAGAATTTCATGTCAACCAAAAGTAAGTACCTTATCTTTCATCCACACTCTTTTTTGGTGTCTCGTATCTGGTTTGGAACCCGACTAATCCGGTTTCCATCACATGTTGATGTGGTGGTAAAGTGCTCCATACCAAACACAACTTCATTTTCGGAGTTTGAACCCGTGATGTCTGATTAAGTATAAAAGAGTACTTGTCATCCTACCACATTGATATTGGAGGTAGTTCTTGAGTTTTCTTTGTGCATACATGGCAAACATATATGGATCAGTAACCAGCAGAACAGAGTTACCGCTCTGTTAAAATTGGAATCTATAATGATAGTGTGAAATTTCTTTATGTTGTTGGTGTATATAAGTTTAAAATGTAATCCTTCAAGTTTGTAAAAGTAGACTAAAAGTGCTTCATTTTAATATATCTGAAGGATTATTAGTTTTGCTAATAAGTTTGTTTTGAATCTTTCAATTAAACAGGTACTTGGATGATCCAAAGAGAGAAGTGAAATGGGGATCAAATAAGCTCATGGAGAAGGGTTTTGTGTACAAATATGACATGAAGAAGATATTGGATGACAATATTAGAAGTGCAAGGGAACTTGGAGTTCTCAAACTACCATCATCTACTTAATATGGGAACTTTTAATTATCATACATGAACAATTTAAGAAATAAATGAATATTTTTAAAATTGTGGTCTAGATATGTCATAATATTTGTGTTGTTATGACATTTTTTGAAACTTGTGGGATTAAATATGTCAAAATATATATGACTATATAATTTTTCATTGGAGGAAGATATAAACGTGACATTCATTAAGGTTCAAGTTGAACAGGGACAAGATAAAATATTTGGAGTGAAAGTTTAGCGACATAACGCATGAGGCTCATAGGGAAATCAGACTTGATACATAAGTCATCCAAAAGAGAGGTACTTTCAAGTATCTTAGGTCTATTATCCAAGGGAACATGGAGATTGACGAGGATGTCACCCATCATATTGGTGCATGGTGAATGAAATGCATGCTTGCATTCGGACTCTTGTGATAAGAAGGTATTCCCAAACTTAAGGGCAAGTTCCATAGAGTGGTGGTTAGAACAAACTTTGTCGTATGGGGCGAAGTGTTGGCTAGATAATAACTTACGTTCAGGAGATGAAAGTTACGAATATGAGGATGTTGCGATGGATGTGTGAGCATACTAAAAGAGATGGGATTAGAAATGTGGATATTTGTGACGAGGTGGGAGTGGTTTCGGTGGAGGACAAGATGCAGAAAGTAAGACTGGATAGTTCAGTCATGTGAAAATGAGATACACGGATGCCCCAGTACAGAGGTGTGAGACGTTGGCTATGGATGATTTCAAGAGAAGTAGAAGAAGAACAGAGAAGTATTGCGGAAAGGTGATTAGACTACACCTGCACAGAGTCAACTTACCGAGGACGTGACCTTAGATAGGAAGGGATCGAAGACACGGATTGCGGAGGTTAGTAGGAAGCAGAACGTTGTCTTTTTGTCTATTCATATTAGTAGTCATAGTATTGCCCCCATAGTTTCTTGTCCTTCAATTTTTGTTACTATTAGTTGCTCTTTATACCTCGATTATCATGTTGTTTTGTTGTAGTTCTGTTTTGTTACTATCTACTATTGTTGTTATTATTTATGTTATCCGTTCATTCTTTTACTTCGATTATTTCTTGTTCGGGACTAATTTGGATTATTTTTCCTTAAATCAAGGGTCTATCGGAACAATCTCTCTACCTCTGAGGTAGGGGTATGGTCTTGTAATGACCCGGTTTGTCATTTTTGGATATTTTCATAAAATTGCCATTTTGCCCCTCTCGATATTGACCCTGAGCTATTTCTGGTTGAGTTGTGAATTTTTGTAAGTTTTGAGTTTGAAAGGCTAAAGTTGTTAAAAAATGATTTTTGGTGTCTTTTGGAGTTTCAAGTGTCAGAATGGAATTCCTTTAATTTCGTCAGTCCCGGAATGTGGAAATTGGTCTATGAGAGTTTTCGATATGAGGCCCTAAGTTGAAATTTATGAAATTTTAGCCTTTAGATTGACTTTGGTCAACATTCGAGATTCGGATGATCTGATAGGAATTTCGAGAGTTACGTTGGATTCAGTGGATGATTTTATGCCTAGATGAAGTCTTGGTTGATTTTTCAGAGGTCCCGAGTTTGTTTTGGCCTTTTTAGGCGTTATGCTAATTTCTATGACTTTCACGAGTTTTGGGTCAAGGAGACCTCTGATTTATGTTTCGATGGTTCCATTGAGTCTGTAAAGTCGAGTATAGTCAGTTTGCTTATATTATTTGTGTGTACGGGATTATTCTGAGAGTCTTTTCGATGATTTTTATGTTGGCTGATGTTTTTTCTTCTGCAGTCCTCACATTTGTAGAGGGCCTTCACTTTTGCGATCTTCACTTTAGAAGAAAGCCACCTTGCAAAAGCGAGACTGACCTTTTGGGCGGGGTTCGCTTAAGTGAACTAGGGCTCGCTTTAGCGATGATCGCTTAAGTTAAGCTCGATTCACAAAAGCGAGATCCCCGATTTTTTGGGATTCGCTTAAGCGAATCTGGGTCGTTTTTGCAACATTAGAGAGGGGTTTTTGGTCTAAAATTTCGGGGTTTAATCTCCACTTTTCATTTTGAGCTTGGTAAAACCCTTTGAGGCAATTTTGAAGAGATTTCTTGTGCTAAATCGTTTGGGTAAGCTTTTGTGACCCTAAAACTTCATTTTCCTTTACTTATTCATGGATTTTAACATCAAAACTTGAGATTTTGATTGGCAAATGGCAAGGTTTTTCAAGAACTTGAGTTCTAAACTAAAATGGTGATTGTGAACTGATTTTAACTCCTTTTTCGAAATGGTTTCACCAATGAGTTCCAAATGCCTTAGGTAATGTTTTCAAGTGAAAATTTTTGGATTAAATCTCATTATCGAAATTGGGTTTTTGAGTTGATTGGCCCATTTTTCAAAGAGTATGAACTGGGTATTGTTATTTCCAGAATCTTCTTGTGCTTACGTGATTGAATTAGATTGTGTGACTTTGGACATAATTTGAAAGGGAAATTGGTTATGTGCATTGATTGTCGTACATTGTGATGATACATGTGATATAAAGTCGATGAAAAATGGTTACGACTAGTGATATTGTGCATAAAGGAAATGGTTCTGGTTAGTGATGTGATATAAAGCCGATGAGAAATAGTTCTGACTAGTGATGTGATATAAAACTTGTGGAAAATGGTTCCGGCTACTAATGTGATATAAAGCCAATGAGAAATGATTCCATCTAGTGATATGATATAAAGCCAGGGGAAAATGGTTCAGGCAAGTGATGTTATATAAAGCCGATGGAAAATGGTTCCGACTAGTGATTTTGTGCCGAAGGAAAATGGTTCCAAAAAAAGTTGATTATTGTGATTTGATGCATTTTATACTTGTGATTGATCTACTTGTTACATGTGTTTGAACTACTCGTTACTTGTGATTGGTATACTTGATGCATGTTGGTTGTTGAGCTATGACTATTGAACTTTGTGGTTAAGCCTTGTAAATTGTGTATTGTAGCACCATTAGGTTGGCTGAGTTCTATGCAGGTTGTAGTTTGAGGAGGTTTAGTTGGGATGAATCGATTTCTAGTTAGTATGTTTTATTTATCAGGTTGCTTGCTAAGTACTGTGTTGTTTGGTACTCACTCCTTGCTTCTACACTTGTGTAGGTCCCGAGCCTGGTATTGTGTGATTGCTCTTCTTCTTCTTCTTCCCTTTTCTCGAGGCTTGTTGAAGGACTTGAAAGGTAGCTGCTTGTCATCCAGGCAGACCCTCTTTTTCCTTTTCGTTATGCTTTGTTCTATTTGGGAAACAAAGCATTGAGACTTGTACTTTTTTTTAATTCCCGCACTTTATGTATTAGTGGCTTGTACATGTGACAACCATGTTTTGGGGTTTTAAAATAAGTTTTCCATTTTTATCTTGTTCTTGTTTCTTTTCCGCTTTTGTTTCGTTTCGTTTCGTTGGGTTGAGGTTGTTTTGTCTTGGTGGGAATAGACTAGTGTCGTCACGTCTATCTTTGGATCGTGACAGGTCTGCATATACTCTACCCTCATCAAACTTCCACTTTTTAGAAACTATACTTAGTATGTTGTTGTTGATTCTTTTTGAAACATATACACTAAAGAAAGGGAAAAAAATGCCCCTCAACAGCATAACAAGTTTGCCTTTCGTTTGAATTTGGCCCTAAATATGCGCTTATCATTGTTGGATTGGCTCAAATTTGACATTCAATTGTGAGAAATAGGACAAATTTGTCCTCCGTTTGTATTTGGTCCCAATATATCCTTATCGTTGAAGAACTTGTTTGGCTCTTCAAAAATGCCGACATGCACATTACATTTTTGAACGATCACATCTTAGCATGTCAACATTTTTAGAGAGTCCGAGCAACATAGTTTTTATATGTACCTACATGCTTTTCTGACCTCATTCAAATAGCCTAGTGAGGATAAATCAGTGTACTCTATTCCTATCTGTACATTTGCATGTAGTAGCAGTACTTTGGCCTAAATGTTTGGACCACAAATTCGATAAATGTAATCCACAAGTAGAGTCTAGAGAGCGTATAGTACTATTCCTATTTGTACATTTGCATGTAGTAGCAATACTTTGGCCTAAATGTTTGGACCACAAATTCGATAGATGTAATTCCACAAGTAAAGCCTAGGGAGGTTAGTATGTATGCAGACCCAAAGGCGAAACTATGTATAGCTTAGGGGTACCTGAACCCCCTTCGACAAAAAATTACATTATATATATAAGGTCAAATTCTGATTTTATGAGTATGTTTATTAAAATGAACCCCCATAACACTGAAGATAAGAACGGCATAATGGTTAAGGGGGTTCATTGTTGGCTGGAAGGGTCTGAGTTTGATTCCCATTGCATGCAACATTTTCCACCTGTTTTAAAGGCTAAGATGGGCTCAGATTCCCAATCCAATGACACTTTTTCATTGGGTTGAATATGTAGCTTTATTTTTATTTTATTTTTCATTGGTTTTCTCTTTATTCTGGTTTTATGAGTATATTTCTTTTTTTTTTTATCAATTTATCTTAATAGAAATTTATTAGCCACATCCTTTATAATTTTGTCTTTTATTCTTCTTATTTTATATTGCTCAGTTTGTTTCTACATAGCTCTCTTTCCATGTACTAAATTGAAGAAAGATGACCAATTATTAAATTTTTAAATTGAGTTAGAAAAAATATTTATATAAAATAAAGTAAATTAAATTAATCAAACAAAAAAAAATTAAAAGTCATGAATATTTTATAACAAAATCTATTTAATTGAATTTTCTTTCTTTAATTTCATAGTATTTCTTTCCTATATTTTTTCATTTTTTTCGAAAGAGATGAAAACTAAACTAATTTTATTTGATTTATTGATCTTTTGTTTTTTTATAGATGACTAACCTAGTAAATTGAATTAAATGAACTAAAAAACGATGATACCATGTATTTATCTTCTAAATATGCATTATAATATTAGTAACTCAATCATTACCCCTTGTTTTTATAATAGCATATGATTGAAAGGACACTGATTCAGAATATTTTTTTAAAAAAAGTAAAATATAATAGAATATTGCAAAACTATATAAAAAAAAAAGCATAAATTTTTTTAAAAAAAACTCAATGAAGCAAGATAAAAGTAGGAAGAACATAAACGCGACATGACAAGACAAGTTAAAGTTAGCGGGTTAAGATTAATATTTTCTTTTTTCATCTCTGTCCGTTTTTCATCTTATAATTTTTACGTGTTCACTATTTTATACTTCAAACCCACTTTACGGAAATCTAGCTCCGCCACTATGCAGACCTTACCTCTATGGCTCTATGTACCTTCACGAGATTGATTTCCGATATATCATCAGCTCAAGTAAAGCGTAAAAATATCAGTAAGTAAAGGAAATAGTTGGAGTAGTACATACATTAAATGCAAGGTAAATATGACAGTAAACATATTTTGTCCTTTAGTACCATTTTAGTGTTACTTTCATTCAATGAAAACCAAACATGTTGTGTAAAGTCAGATACAAAATTATTGATTTGATTGAGAAAGATAAAGAAGAGAAAGCTGAATAAGGTTTTATCTATGGTGGACAAGAAGAGTAGAAGTTCAATGGTGGTTTGTGTTACTGGTGGTTCAGGATACATAGCTTCATTTCTGGTGAAAAAACTTCTTGAAAGAGGCTACAAAGTTCATGCTACCTTGAGGAACTTAGGTTTGTAATTCTTGATTTTTCTTTTTTTCCTATCATGTGATCTTGTATGGATGGATGAGATTTACCTTAACTAGAGGTTTCAAGTTCAAATTTCGAAAAGGGAAATTTCTCATAGAAATTAGAGTTCATTGGGAACTCTACCACCCTGATTTTGAAAAATAGTCATTGTTGTCCTAAAATCTCACTTGTGGAATTTGAATATATTTTTTTAATTACAAAGGCTACTGATAGCCTTAGAGATGACAATGGAGCGGGGAGGATGTGGGGCGGAGCGGGTTTAAGGTTGTGCGGGGTGGAGCAGGTTTAAGGTTGTGCGGGACGGAGCAGGTTTAAGGTTGTGCGGGGCGAGAGGGATGTGTGTGTGTGATTTTATGTGGGTTCAAATTTAATTTTAATTTTTTACTTGTTATAAGAGTGATAGAACATTATTTATTAAGATAATTTCTTTTAAGATAGTAAATCAAAATGGTTCAATAGAAAATAATACAATTTCTTACATTTTTTCCAATTGACCTCTAAAGAATAAATTTTAAGTCATATCTATTAAATTAATATAACTTAATGGAAAAATGGATTTATTTTTATGAGGGCAGGGTGGAGCGGGTTGAAAATAAAAAAAAAATTGTTATGAGGGGGGATTAAAAATTTTGTGGGTTAATCTCAACCCGCCCCGCCCCGCCCCATTGCCATCCCTAGATATCCTATCTACCTCTCTGAGGTAGGGGTAAGTTCTACGTACACTTTATCCTCTCCAGATTACATATATGGGATTGTTGTTGTAAAAGCTAAAAATACTTATTTATGAAAGATTTCCCAGAAATTTCTAGTTCTTGGTGTGATGGAGCTGATCTTTCCAGCTTAACCAGAAGTGCAGGTTCAAGCTTTAAAAATTAAAAAAAAAAAAAAGGTAAAATGGTGTCCACTAGCTTCTTTTCGGCCATATCTTTGAAAAATAACCATTGTCATCCTTGAGTCCCGTCTCACGTGTGGAATTTGAAACTTCAGGACAATAATTGTTTTTCAATGACGAGATGAAAAATAATTAACTATTAGTGAATTTTCCCCGGATATTTCAGATTCAAAGCACTTAGCCTTGTAGTGAGTCTAGCGCCATGCAAATTTGAATTAGTCTAATCAGTAAATTCCGAATATATATATATATAATTTGTGATAATTTTGCAGAGGATAAATCAAAAGTAGACTTGTTGAAGAACTTGCCTAATGCAGAAGAAAATTTGAAGTTATTTCAAGCTGATATGTATAGACCAGAAGAATTTGAGCAAGCAATCACAGGCTGTGAGTTTGTTTTCCATGTGGCCACTCCTTGTATACATTCTGAGGGATTTCAGGTACCTAGTTTCATTTTTCAAAATAATGATGATGTTCGATCAGGTCAGCTTGTGTGCATCTCGATAATTATACCAACTTCATTATTGCTTCCCAACTAGTATATGTATTCCTATTTTCATTTTAATGTTGTCGGGGACCTACAATCTCTTACTAGGAACAAAACGTATTTTTTTTTTTATAATGGTGATGTTCGAATCAACTTGCTCACCTATTATGTTCCACCAAGTACCTAGTCTCCCATGGTTTTGACCTATCACATCAGTTGTTAGGCTACACTTTTTGTGCTCGTCAGGGTCGGAGCTATACTCATCAAAGGGTGATCAATTGAACACGTTTTGTTGAATATTTTTATTTTGTATACATGCATCCAAGGGTGTGACGTAACGGTCAATAAAGTGTGTGGAGCACCATGATGTCTCGATTTCAAATCCTATGGAAAAAAAGCACCTAAGAGATTTCTTCCTATCTGCCCAAGCCTTAGTGGACAGAGTTATCTGGTACCAAGGCTTGGTGATGGGCAGTTTCGTGTATGTCTGTTGGTGGGAGGTAGCAGATACTCAGTGGAATAGTCGAGGCACCAACGTCACAAAAATTATGATACTTTATATATATATGTCAAATATTACTACTTATTATATGCAAATACTATGTTTGTTTATTTTGGTGGGATTGAACATTGTAACAGGACAAGAATCAGGTAGAAGCAGCAGTTGCATCAGTGAAGAATATCGTAATGTCTTGTATAAAGTCTGGTACTGTGAAGAGGCTTATATATACAGGCACTGTGCTTGCTGCTTCACCAATGAAGGATGATGGTAATGGCTTCAAAGATTTGATGGATGAAACATGTTGGACTCCTCTCAATGTCCACTTTCATTTTAGCGACGATTTTGTTATGGTAAGATTTCTTTCTTATTAGTAATGATGGTGTCGGGATCAGTTTGCCTACCAACACGAGTATCATGTAACTCTGTCCACCCTAAAAAAGACGAGTCTTTCTCTATGAACTACCTAAACAAGAATTCTCGAATTCTATAAAGCATACCAAAAAACTAAACATTTCCTTTTTTGAATAGTATAGACTTATGTGGAAGCAAAGACAGCATGTGACAGAGAAATCTTGAACTTTGGCAAAGATGGATTTGAGGTTGTGAGCTTAGGTTTTGGTCTTGTTGGAGGAACAACACTCATGTCAAATATCTCTAGAAGCATGGCTAATATGTTGTCAGTGGTAACTGGTGATGAAATTTATTACAATCAACTCAAGTTCATAGAAGAGGTTGATGGAAAAGTTCCAATTATACACATTGAAGATGTTTGTGAAGCTCACATTTTCTCAATGGAAAATAGTGATTCTATGAATGGTAGATTCTTGTGTGCTAGTGCATTTGTTTCTTCTGCAGAAATTGCAAGTTATTATCAACAAAACTATCCAGAGTTTCATATCAACCAAAAGTAAGTACCTTATATTTCATCTACACTATTTGGTGTCTGGTATCTGGTTTGGAATCCGACTAATACAGATTCTATCACACGTTGGTTTGGAGGTAAATCGCTCCCCACCAAACGTGACTTCATTTCTAGAGCTTGAATCTAAAACATATATATAGTTATGTGTGAAATTAGGTCTTAGGCTTAACTCACACTCCAAAAGTTAGCTCAAAGGAAGGAGGATTGCCCAAGCCTTATACGAAGTCAACTCATCTCATTAACCACCAATGCGGTCTTTTGTCATTATTTAACACCCCACCTCACGCCCAGTGCTTAGCATTTGGTACGTGGGCAATTTTGATTTTGGAGGCCCCTATGTGAGACGGGCCCTGCTCTGATACCATGTGAAATTAGGTTGTAGACCTAACTAACACCCCAAAAGCTAGCTTAAAGGGAGGAGGATTGCCCAAGTCTTAGTCCACTCATCTCATTAACCATCAATGTGAGCTTTTGTCATTCTTTAACATTAAGTATAACAGAGTACTTACCACTCCATCACAATTGATTTGAATGTAGTTCTTGAATTTTCTTTGCGCATACTTAGACATTTGAGGTTATGAATTAATAAACATTGAGTTCAACTAATATTGACGACGTAAAGAATTTTTATACTATCAAATCATTTAATATCTATTTAAAGGATTATTTTGCTAATTATTTTTTGAATTTCATTTTATATATCTTTCCATTTATAAACAGGTACTTGGATGATCCAAAGAGAGAAGTGAAATGGGGATCAAATAAGCTTATGGAGAAGGGTTTTGTGTACAAATATGAAATGAAGAAAATATTGGATGATAATATTAGAAGTGCAAGGGAAATTGGAGTTTTTAACTTACCATCATCTGCTTAATGGAACTTTTAATTTTCATATATGAAAAATATTTACTCGTATCGAGTGTTTGTAACAAATCATATGAATTTATCGTAAGTAATAAAATAAGGTGATAATATTTGCTAACACGCATGTCGCGTATTTATTGTTTTGATGTAAACACAGGGTGCGGATAATTTTTATGGTCCGTGTATTGTTTTTTTCTATCCTTCATAGTGTGAAAGTATGGTTAAATGACTATACATGTATATACTGAAGAATACATACAAACACCCTAATATTCTACTCCTAGCTCCAATTTGTTTGGTGATATTTCCTTATTGGTCCGTTCCGGAAAGAATGACACATTTCTACGTTAGGAAACAATTAACTTTAAACTTCACATTTTGCCGTTAATATGAAGCTTTTATAGCCACGCAAATGTTACAACATGTGTAAGGTTTCAAAAGTCTTATAGCCACACAAACTGTACTAAACTAATTGGAACAGAGGAAGTAGTAAATAGAGTACTAATACATCATTTGGAAAGTCAAGCTGATTGAAGCAGTAGAATCATATGGAAACATATTACTCGCGCTCGATGATCACATCGATCCAATGATAATTTGATTACAGTAGTTGTAGTAGTGCTCCTGTAGTTTCTTCTTGTCCTTCGATTTCTATTACTACCTGTTGGTTTTTACACCCCCACTATCATCTTATTTTGTTGTAGTTACTATCATGTTTTTGCTACTCCTATTACTTCTTTTTCTAGACTGCTTTGGACTATTTTTCCCTTGATCCGAGGGTCTATCGAAAACAGTTTTTCTACCTCTAAGGTAGAGGTAAGGTTTGAGTACACTATACCCTCACCAGACCCGGTGTAATCCTATAAGTGGAGTCTGTGGAGGGTAGAATGTACACATGTACGTAAACCTTACTCCTATCTTTGTGGGGTTGAGAAGTTGTTTTCGATAGATCCTCGACTCATAAGAAGTGTAATCAAAAGCAGTTAAAGGCCTTAAATACTGAGTTCTTGTTTCTCTTAATTAGTATTAGAAGAATAATATAGAAAGTAAGTTGCATGTTGAATAGTAGCATTCCCTTAATCTTTCACTATGATTTAATCTATACTTGATTTGGAAGCAATGTACCAGAAATGGGAACTGGAAAATGAAAGATAATGCTATTTGTAAACATATTCTCCTTGTGAGAAATTAATCTACATCTCCATCTACATGTTTTGGAGAAAAAGAACTGGTGATCATATGATTGAAGTAAGACACATCATACCCTTAAGAGTTCGACCATTTTGTCCTCTCGACTAAGAATGTCGTACGCTTGTATTTTTACAGGAGCATTCACATATGAAGAGACAGAGATCAAGACATACTTTGATTTGATGATATGAACTTTGTTTAACTTTCTGTGATTTCTTGCAGCATTTCTACCACCTTCTTCATCTTTGGTCGTTTTGCTGGTGTCATGTCAGTGCACAGCAACGCAACCTTTAGTGCTGCTAACATTTCTTTTCTCCAAGAAAATGAAATGGTGCTGAGCTTTGCATCGAGTATCTGCTCCGGTGTTTCCCCCCTTGTAGGTGCACCATGTACCCACTTAACCAAATCTATTCCTTCACCAAAAGCTTCATCAACAGGTAGTCGGGTGGTTAGGATCTCGAGCAAAACAACCCCATAGCTGTAAACATTTCCAGGAGCTGTTACTTGCATTGTATATGCATACTCTGTTTAGAAAAAAAAAACAAGTCAATTACAGATTTATAATCTCTACAAACACGAAAAGAGAAAGATAATAGTTTCAATTTGTTTGTCATACTTAAAAAAGAATGCCTTTTTCCTTTTTTGGCAACTTTTAAATTCAAACTTTTCACGTGACATGTTTAAGACCACAAGATTAAAAGGCAGTTTGGTACATTCTACATATCTTTAGTTTAAGACACCAAGATTCAAAAGTTTTCTTTACTTTCTTAAACTTTGTGTCAAGTTAAAATCATACAAACAAATTGAAACAGAGGGAGTATGTGTGTTCAAATGATATGTACCTGGAGGAATATATCCGAATGAACCAGCAACAGCACTAATACTTGCAGTCCCTCTAGATGGATCGAGAAGCCTAGAGATTTCAACTTCACTAACCAAAGGCCTGAAATTAGAATCCAGAAGCACATTCCCGGAAGAAATGTCAAGATGGATGATAGCAACATGATGAAGGAATGCCAATCCTTCTGCAACTCCAGTGGCAATGGCAAGTCTTGTTGGCCAGTCGGGCTTATATTCAGGTTTCTGGCTAGAGTTATGAAGATATTGAGTCAACGTTCCGTTGGCATAATATTCATGCAACAGAAGAACGACATCTTCATAGATTCCAAATCCGATAGGACGAGCAAGATTATCATGAACGAGCTTACTAAGCTTTTCAAGCTCTCTGATCATCTTACTCTGGTGATGAATTATAGTTTTGTCCATTGACTTTAGCTTCTTCACCGACAAAATCATCCCGGAAGGCATGTCTGCTTTATAGACAGTGCTGAAAGTACCAACACAAATCTTATTCGAGTCTTTCATGACTGCCTTTACAACTGCATCAAAATCAACTGCTTGCTTTAGATTGTCAACAAAGACGTTTCCCGCTAGTATTACTGGTTTGCTAGAAATTTCATCAATGGTATTTCCAGCTGCTTCCTTGGCAGCTTTCTCTTGTTTCTCCCTCATCATGAACAGCAAAACAACCACTGTGACACATACAAAAACTGCCAAACCAGAACCGATAACAGCCAAAACGATTCGGTAAGAGACCCTGTGACCGTAAACGCTGTGGTCATAACCATTTAAATCCCCACAACCACCACTCAAAGGATCACCACAGAGATCTTTGTTTCCAAGAAAACTTGAATTAGGACTTTTCTGAAATGGTGCAAAAGTAGGTATTGGACCAGTGAATTGGTTGCTCGAAAAATCAACCTCTATCAAACTCTGCATGCCCTTCAATGCCGGCGGAATATTCCCAGAGAGCTGATTATCAGATACATCTAAAGAAACCAACTTGTCAAGTTTTCCTAAATCCTGAGGCAATTTTCCGTGGAGACGATTATGACTCAAATTCAACGAAATCTGCAAGTTCTTCATATGACCAATCTCAGGAGGATACTTCCAGTAAGTTCATTACTCCCCATTTCCAACTCAAGCAACTTTACACAATTCCCTATCTCATGAGGTATCTCCCCTCGAATCGAGTTCTCCCCCAACAGCAAATATTGCAATCTGGACGTATTGCAGATATCTGCCGGTATGGTACCATTGAACTTGTTGTTGCTCAAGTCAAGCTTATTGAGATTCTTGCACTTAAGAACTGATATTGGAATCTCTCCATAAAGGTTATTACCAGAAACAATCAATTCTTGCAAACTGTTAAGCTGACCAAACTCAGGAGGAATAGTTCCATTAAACTCATTTGAAGCTAAATTAAGAAGAGTGAGATTTGAGCATTTCGCGAACTCGGTGACAATTTCACCAGACAAACTATTACTATCTGCTTCAAAATAAGTAAGACTGCTGATATTCCCAATTGATTTAGGGATACCTCCAATCAACTTGTTATTCCCAATTCTAATACTAGAAAGTCCTTTACAATTCCCAATCGAATCAGGAATCGTTCCGGTCAACTTATTCTGAGTTAGAACAAGAAATTCAAGATTCCCATTAGCACAAATGCTCTCAGGAATAGTACCTTCAAGCTGGTTTGAGTGAAGGTTCAACAAAGAAAGATCAGAGTACAATCCTAAGTTAACAGGAACACCACCACTAAATTCATTCTCATAAGCAGCAAAAACCTTAAGATTGGTCAAATTACCAATCCACATTGGGATAGAACCATTCAAGTTGTTAGTAAATATTTGAAAATCTTGCAAATTCTCTAACCCCTCAAGCTCATCAGGTATAGCTCCTGTGAGCCAGTTTTTCGAAAGGTTCAATGCCTTAAGGCTTCTGAGCTTACCTAATTCACTAGGTATTGAGTTTCCAAATTTGTTAAAAGACAAATCAAGATATTGAAGCTCAGATAAATTCCCAAATGCAAATGGAATAGAACCTTGGAAGTTATTATTAGAAAGGTCTAGCCACTTTAAACCTTTGAGCTCAGATATTAGAGTTACATTACCTTGTAATCTAAAACCAGAAAGATCAAGTCTTTCCACCATTGAACTGTTTGAGCTGCAAATAACTCCATGCCAAGAGCAGAAATCAGTTGTGTTCATCACACCCCATCCAGGTACTGATAGCTCTTTCCCAATTGCTTCCACTACATCTTGATCATGAAAAACCAACTGGGAATTCACAAGTTGGAATCTTGATAACAAACCAACTAGAAAAAACACAGTTAACAGAAACCTCAAAAGTGCCATTCTTGAGTTATTTTTTTTTTCAAGAAAACACCTTTTCTTCAATTTCTTCCTCCTTTTCCCTCCAAAACAACCAGATAGAACAATCAAGAATCCATTGATGAGATTAAGGGGGGGGTGAAAAAAGGGGTTTGCAGTGAAAAAGATCGAATCTTTGAAATGGTTATGAGGTTGTTTACAAAGAAAACACCTTTTCTTCAACTTCTTCCTCCTTTTCCCATCAAGAATCCATCACATGAAACTTTCTGCAGAATTGGAGATTGTGGGGGTGGGGTGTAGAAGACAAAAGGGGGTTTAGAGTGAAAAAGATTGAGTCTTGAAATGCTCAAGAAATGTGAGGGAGTATTCCATTTGAGGAATCTTGAAAATGGAAAATAACCAAAAAGCTAGGAAGCCCTTAAATTTAGGAAATAAAATGTAGTAGACAGTAGAAGTGAGTACTATCTAAGAAGAAGCCATATCAAGAAATGAAGAAAGCCATTGTGTATAGAAGAAGAAAACAAAGAAAGAAACAAAACACTAAAAAACAGAAGGACACAGAAAACCTGGGTCTAGGCTAGAAGATAGACTAGCTGAGCTGAAACAAAATAGTACCACTACTATAGTAGTAGTATTAAGGAGTTAAAGAAACAAAAATAAAGAACAAGGGACTAATTGTTGTTAGTACTTTTTAGATTAGATTAAGCCAGTAAAGGAAAAAAAAAAATAGGATTTTCAAAGGACAAACATA